CGTAGGGGAAGAACAAAAAGGGAAAAGAAAAAAATGTGAGAGAATGAAAAGATGAAAATAAAGTGTTTGTAGATGGGGAGGGGAGGAGGGGGTGAAGGGAGGGCAGAGGTAAGGGGAAAAAAATGAGAATCAAGATTTGCCATGTAAAGGTACATGATCCCAACAATGAATGTAACTGTACTGTATCCCTAAATGTACCAATAAACTAAAAAAAAAAAAAAAAAAAAGAAATATGAAAAAAAAAATAGATACTTCTTTGTGGGCAGCCCTACATACAGATTTTCTTAGATATGCTGTTTTTAATACCACAAAGACAGCTTATGAATACAATTTAGCCAGGCCAAATAAGGAGCATGTAACAGAGCAAAAATGCACATGCTGTCTCCCTCCCCCCCACACAACACACTTAGTTTCTATACAATAATTCATCTCTTTATTGAAGAATTAATAATTGAGCACATGATGCACCATGGCACTATTCCAAAAAACTGATGATAGACTAATGAAACCCACAAAGTATTTGACAATAATTCTGAAAATTATGAAAGTTAACTGAGTCTCTAAAAATTATAATAAGGATAAAGATAAAATTTAAAAAGAATGTATTCAATCCATCCACTAAGTCTCAGTAGGAGCAGTGAGAGCTAGTGATGCTGGATCCATGAGCTTCTCCTCCCAGCCCCTTTAACTCAGTGAGATGGGTTTCTACTGCATGTGACAAAGCAAAGAAGGCAGGAATCCTTTTTCCTTATCCCAGCCTATGGTTGCAGCTTTTCACTAGACAAGGATAACCTTGGTCATTGCCTCTAATTTCAGGTTGTAGCATCTCTATTATCAACAAATGTGGTGGATTCAAGGCTCCTGTGTGCTACAAAGTGACCACTTGTATAGTGAGAGCTCCAGTTGACTCACGACAAGATGAAACTAAGTACCAATTTCCCTCTGGCCAGATTATTTTTTGGTTGGATGGTCCATGCTGGGAGTTGCAAGCCAAGACCAGCCCTGCTTGTACAGCAGAATTGTCATTCCAAGAAAATCAGGCTTCATCCAGTCCCCCTGCTCTGTACAGTGTCACAGTTTCTAACAAAGAAGCAAGTGGAGAGAAAAGAACGTTGTAGCTCCTCCCAAGGGAACAAATTTTATTTGGAACCAATTTGGGGAAGTTTCTGGCTAAGAAATCTCTAAAAAGCAATGAATGTTTTTTTTAATGGTAAACCAATTCAGAGGATACAAGTCGCTCCAGAATAGCAAGAAATGAAACTGCACAGCGAAAAGAAACTTAACAAAATAAAGAGCTAAGAAGAAACCTTTTATAGTTGGAGAAAGCCTTGAAAAGAAAGACTATCTGTAGTTACAGTTTAATACAAAAGGTCCCCCAAAGCTTCATGTATTTGGAAGGTGAATGGATTATGGAAGCATTAGAGGTGACTTTCCTTTAAGAGGTGGGGTCTGTTCTGAGGACATGAGTCACTGCATGTGTGTGAGTGTGTGTGTGTGAGTGTGTGTGTGTGTGTGAGTGTGTGTGTGTGTGTGTGTGTGTGTGTGTGTGTGACCTGGAAAGGTAAATCTCTCTTCCTGGTTCCTTCTGTAGTTTTATGCTTCCCCATCTCCATGATATGTGCAGCACCTGCCTTGCAGCCAACTAACAACGACTGTAAATAAACCTCTGCTCCTCTAAATCGCAGGTGTCCAGTAATGTGTTTCAGTGATGAGAAAGTGATTAAGTCACCTAGGCACAAGAAAAACATAAAAGGACAGAAGTGGCCTTTGAGAAGGCTCAGATATAGTTAGCAGATAAAGATTTCAACCCAGCTATTGTAATTATGTTCAATTAAATGAAGCAATCAGAGCTGTAAAAAAAAAAATTTCAACTTGGGCACAATGGTGCTCAACTTAATGACAGCCTGTCACTAAATTAAAATAATAACGATAATAATGATTAATAATAATGGAGACGTTGCTCAATACAAAGGTTCTGGGTTCAATCCCTAGTAGAGAAAAATGAAATCAAAATTATAAAAAAAAATCTCACCAGTTAGAGAATAAGAGAAATTGTTTTGAAAATCAAATAGAAATTCTGGAGTAGAAATATTTTAAAAGTAAAGAATGAAAAAGTCAATAGAGTGTTCAAACTTGTAATTCAGGTGGCAGACAAAAAAAGAAAATTTGAAAATAAATTAAGATTATGTAATTTAAAGAATATAGAGAAAGAACTGAGTCTTGGAAAATGTGGGCCACCACTATTTGCTCAAGCAAACATGCTAGAGGTAGCAGAAGACAAGAATAAAAAAATATAGAAAAACGTTTTAAGAAACGATTGCTAAAAACTTTCTAGATATGATGATTACTATTTATCCACACAAGTGCTTGCAGGACAATGGACTCCAAGTAAGCTAAGAACAAAGATATCTTCACTTTCCTTCTTCAGAATCAAATATGAAAAGATAAAGATGAAAAGAACATTCTGGTCACAGGAAGGGAAAAAATGATTTCGCTCTCTAATTTTAAAGTAAAATAATAGTAAAAGATATATTTCCATAAAACATAACAGCACATGTTAACAAAGTAAAATGAAATATTTATATTGATTAGATGACCAACCCATTAAACAGGAATAACAATTACAGGCACATAGACACCTCACACTCAACTACAAAATATATGAAACAAAACTGACAAACAAAATATTAAGTAGACAATAGAAATTAATAGTTAATACTCCATTTTCAAAAATGAACAGGACTATTAGGAATATGATCAGTGAAGATATTGAGAAACTGAATAATACTATAAACCAAGTAGAATTTTTGAACATCTAACAATTAAATATACCTTTTTAAAGTGCTTCTGAAAGACTCTTAAAAATATGCCATTATACTGCACCTTGATTGCCTTAGCAGAGTCAAAAATATTTGTATGTTCTTCAATCATAATTGAATTTAATTAAAAATGAATAAAAGGAGGAAATTTTGATATTTAAAAATCAATGAAATTATAATACATGTCTAAATAACAATAGATCAAATAAATCACATGGACATTTTAAAATACATTAAAATAAATGAAAATGAAAGCATGGTATGGTAATATTTATGATCTTAACCTGTGTTTATCAGGGAAATTCATTTCTAAGTAAAATCTTCAATTAAAAAAGAAGTAAATCAATAATATAGATACATCCTAAGGCAGTTGAAAAAGAAAGCAAACTAAACCTAGAGCAAGCAGAAGAAAGGAAATAATAAAAAATTAAGTAAATATATGAAATAGAGAATAGAAATAACATAGATTAGATTACTTGAAGTTACCAACAACTTCTTAAGAATTTCATTACATTGATTTTTTTAAAAAGGCAGCCATTTCAGATGGCAAAATCTGGAAGGAGAGCACACCACTAAATACTACACTAAAATTTAAAGGATTATTTTTAATATTAAGATGATGATATGGATGTCAACAAAAAAGAAAATATCTTAGATAAGGGATAAATTTTGGAAGAACACAAATGGGTAAAGAAATACAAAAAAATACAAATAGTTCTATAATAGATACTGTAATTTAGTTAATAATTAAAATCAAAAGTCACACACACACACACACACACACACACACACACACAAATAGGCCCTAGCTCAGATGACATTAATGGTGAATTTTACCAAACATTCAAAGATCATTAATACTAATCCTTCACTGATTCTTCTCAAATATAGAAAAGAAAGAAGGGGAATGGGGAAAAGATAAGAACCAAGATGGATTATGCAAAGGTGCAAATTTCCAATGAATGTCATTATATTGTATACCTTAAATATACCAATAAAATTAATTTGAAAAAGAGAAAGAAGACATTGGCTCATATTCTGAAGTCAGTTTTATAGAAACAAAAAACTAGGCAAATACATTATAATAAAAACAAATTCAGGCAAATACTCCTTAAAACCAAATTTTAAGTTTTAAAATTAAAACACTGAAACCAACATCATTTTTTTTAAAAAAACTATACATGCTAATCTACAGCGATTTATCTCATGATCACATATTTGGTTTAACATCTGAATACAGATGTAATATATGGTTGTGTATTTTAATAATATAAAATTAAAAAGTTACGTTTATGCTAATAGATAACAAAACATACACTTTACAAAACCCCACATCTTCTCCTCATAAAAAACACTCAATGAAGAATATAAAATAATCAATCTGATTAAAGACAGCCACAACAAACTCCAAACTAGTGTGCTTAATGCTGAAAAATGAAATATTTTGCTCTTAATTCCAAAAAAAAGAACATGCCATGTCATTCCCACTTGTATTCAAAGCTGAATGTAAAGTTCAAGCAAGGAAATTAAATAAGAAAAACAAAAGGAAACCATATGTTAACATAAGAAAATTACCCCTGCTTTCCGAATGAACACAGAATATTCTAAACAATACACTAAATATCTATTAGAACTAAAAGTAGTCATGTCCTGTCACTGCTTGGTAACAATGGAGAACACAATGGTTACCTGAGCAACGTATGGGTGCAGATCTGCCTCTGAGGGCTACTCTAGGAAGCTCGAAAGTGTTGTCGGGAGGAGAGGAGTCTCAGTGGTGATGGTTGAATTAATCAAGTCAAATCATGAACTTAAAACCGTATAATTTCTCACTTGTTCATCAAGAATGAAAAACTTCAGATTCTAATGATAAAGAAAGTAGTGACCAATCTGCCACCCAACACAGAAGGCAGATGGACCTACTGGATAATGAAGAAGCTTTCTACCAATTTGTAAATAACTTGAGTGAAGAAGATTATAGACATATGGGAGACAATAATTTGCTAGGCACCCTTGGTGAAAGTACTGAGGAAGAGTTGTTGAGAAGACTACAACAGATGAAAGAGGTTCTACCACCACAAAACTCAAACGGAAATAGATCAGGGGGAGATTCTTCAGATGATGTGTCTGATAGCAACTCCATAATAGACTGGGCTAATTCTGCCAGACACACTAGAAATAGGACAAGAAGTAGTCCAAGAAGAGACCGAGCTCGGAGAGAAGTGAGCCAGAGTGATCCATACAACGGTGATTTCAGGTTCACTTTAGAGATAAATGTTAACCAAAATAATAGGAGCCATAACCTGGAGAATGAAAATGAATCATCTTCAAGACATTCTAGAGGAGAAATTACAGGAAACAACAGCCAAAGGCAAGTGGAAAATCCACCATCTGATTCAGGGCCATCTAGGTCACGAAGAAATTCAACTGAAATATTCACAGTAACTACCAGAAGCCAAAGGAAGGCAAAAAGCAGCACAGACCACCCGACAAGAGCCAGAGCTGAAAGGAGAAGGTCAACTCTGCATCCAACAAGGGAAATTTCAAGAAGATTTCATCACAGTCTTTCATCTCAAGTTTTTGTGCATGTAGATGACATAGAGGGACGTTCCAGAAGCCGGCGCCAGGTGACATTGAGACAACAAGGAATTGGGCTTATGTTGCCCAATAGAGGTCTTTTTGCAGCTTCTGGAAGGAGATATGCCCCTCAAGGAGCAAGCTCTTCAGACACAGCCAGCAGTGGGGAATCCACAAGATCGGGGTAGAGACCTCCAAACATAGTCTTTGGTCCTCCTGTCAGAAGAGATCATGTCGGAGCACGTCAACAGAGAAATAGCGTAGCCAGCAGAATTCGGTTGAGGTCTCAGACTCCAAATAACACTGTTATTTATGAAAATGAACTTTTTAGACCTGTATTTTCACATTCTGGGCGGGCAGATGTGAGATCCTATATTGGTACAATGAGATTTCCCGTTTGCCGAATCTTAAATACTGGCTTAAGTGAGAACAATATGTCTGATGCAATTCAGACTATGTTAAGGCAGATTATGAGAAGTTACGGTGAGCTAAACTACTTTAATTACAGTGATAGCCATTCAGAACCTAGTGCTTCCATCTCAAGTGGAGTTATGGGAAGGTTAGAGTCACAGAATGGAAGAGGGACTTCTCGTGGTGGTAGCAGCTCTGGGTCCAGTTCAAGTTCCATTTCGAGTTTCAGTTTGAGTTCCAGTCTCACTTCCAGCTCCAGCTGTGAAAGTACAGAAACTAATTCAGAGTTGTCTGAAGGCAGTAATGAAGAAGGTTCATCAAGTGCCAGGCGAGAGGGTCGAAGTAGAGCCTCGGTCACATTTGATGAAAGTGGCTCTTTACCCTTCCTTAGTCTGGCTCAGTTTTTCCTCTTAAATGACGATGATGATGACCAACAGAGTGGACTCACCAAAGAACAAATCGACAGCTTGGCCATGAGAAGTTCTGGTGAAAATGATGAATTAAAAACCTGTAGTGTTTGTATTAGAGAATATACAGAAGGCGACAAACTTCGGCAACTACCTTGTTCCCACGAATACCATGCCCACTGCATTGATCATTGGTTATCTGAGAATTCAACCTGTCCTATTTGTCGCAGAACAGTCTTAACTTCTGGTAACAGGGAAAATGTGTAATTAACTGAACTCTCAGCTATGTATCTGGTGTAGTGATGGGCAAACAGGAATTACTTGCTCTGTGTTCATGTTTTGAGTGGTAATTAAGTGTAAAGAAACAACCTGATGGTCCTTACTTTCTGAAAGAATCATATCCTTCCTCCATCTCCTGTTCCAGAATAAAAGCAAATATTTAAAAAGAACTTCTTATTAGGACCTAAAAGTCTCATTTCAGAACCAGTTGAATTGGTAGCATTTCTGTTACTGTTAATTTATCATGTACACTTGTCAGTTCTCTTTTGTTATCATGAGATCTGCCTTAGTAAAAAAAAAATAATTCAATATTATTGCAAGGTTCAGAATTAAAATAATAATTGGTTTTTATTCACCTAACTGAAAATCTACAAATATAATTAAGAATTTTGTTTTCTTTAGAATAGGATAGAAAGGGATACTAGAATCATTATTTTAAAAAGTACATATTTGGAGGGCAGGGGATTTAGCTCAGTGGTTCTTCCACCTGCCTTGTAAGCACAAGGACCCAAGTTCAATCCCCAGTAACCCCCCAAAAAAGTACATATTTGGACTCTAAAATATAAAAAATAATTGTTGATTTAAAGTATTAAATAGACAAAGACATGTTTGTGTGTATGGTTCAGGGGACTTGTTTTTTGTCAAGTAATGATAACGTGTAAGTGCTACAGATTCAAAGAAATCTTTATTGGCCGGGTGTGGTGGTACATGCCTGCAATCCCAGCATTTGGGAGGCTGAGGCAGGAAAGCTGTGAGTTCGAGACCAGCCTGGGCTACATAGTGAATTCCAGGTCATTGCCAACTACGTAGTGAGACCCTCTCTCAAAACAAAACAAACCAAAACAGCAAAGTAATCCTTATTAACTGCCAAGTTGCCATTTAATATAAACTGAAAATTGATCCTAAAATTCATCTGGAAAAACTAGGGATTCAGGAGAGCTTCAAATTTTGTTTTCAAAAGAGAATATTGGATGACTAAATCTTTATTATAAAGATATAAAAGTAAAGAAATTTGCTCCTCATACACTTGGATATTAAGTCCATGAAACAGAACTTGGTGTTTAGAAATAAACCATTACATTTATGACCAGATGATTTTAAAAACTGACAAGACAATTCATGAAGAAAAAAAAAATTTTACAACGATATATACAATGTAAAGGTAAGAGGTTGAATCCCTTCCTATGCCATGCACAAAATTAACTAAAAACAACTGTCCTAAAACTAAGAACTAAATTTATACAACTCTGAGAGGAAAACATTAGAGGTAGAGTTAACAATATTTGGCTAAGGAAATACTACCCAAATAGAACAGCAAAAGTAAGAGTAATGAAAATATAAAAAGATAGATTGATTGATATATATAAAATTTCATCAAAATTAATTAATTAATCAATTATACAGACTGATACAGAAAGGGAAAAATCATTTGAAAAGATATTTGAAATTAATATCAAAACCTCAAGTTGGTGACGAATAAATGACAATAACTAAAGTTTTATAATGGTCAATGTTTCTAAGAAGACATTTGTTGAAAGGAGATGTACAAATGTCCAATAAATTCACAAAGTGATTTTTAATGTCATTAGTCACTAGGCAAACAAAATAAAGCTACTACTTCACACCCACTGAAATGGAACATTTTTCAAAAAAGAGAAAGAGTAACAGTTGGAAAATATAAAAAGAGGTCAGAAACCTCATGTATTCCTAATACATACTGTTTACAATGCAGCCACTTTGATAAACAATTTGACAGTCCACTCCTCAAGAAATAAATATTTTTACCAAATAACCCAGCAACTCTAACCCTAACATATATATACACAAGGAATGAAAAAAAACACCTTCACAAAAGCTTGTGTAGAAAACATTAATAATTCAAAATATTTAAAAATGAAAACACACAAATGTTCACAATCAATGGATAGATACAATTGCACCTATTTATACTATGGAATATTGTTCAACAGTAAAGAGTGATGATATAGTTAAAGCTGTTCTAACAAGGATGAATCATAAATCATGGTGTGATGAATAAAGCCAGACACAAAACGCTACTGGTCCTCACGTGTACTATTCCTCCATCTCAAGGATTCAGAAGAGTCCAACACACTGAGATGGAGGGAGTGCTTGTCAATGAATGTAGTTTCCTTTGCGGAGATAAAACTATTCTGACATTTTGTAGTTATACAGTACGTAGCCTAACTCTATTTATGTACCAAAAAAATTCAATTATACTTTTTAAATGAGTAAATTACTCTGTATATTATCTGTATCTCAGTAAACCTGTTTAAAAACACTGTAGGTTCTGGAATCCATGAGAACATACACTAGCTGTGAGCCTAGGAAAATCGATTCTGAGATGTTCTGTTTCTTCAGTGTATAAAATGAGGGGAAGAAAATGATACTTATCTCCTTTTGTAGTTGAAGGTATTTAAAAAGATACTATTCCCCCTCAGCCATTCAAGCACATAGAATCTAGAGTTTATTAAGCATTTGATGCATATCAGGCATTATTGTTGGATACAGCTGTCAAACAACCAAATGTTTAATTTACTAGTGCTGATGTAATGAAAACTGTAATAACAACACTTTCACTGAGTAGTTTCATAAAATTTCATTGTGCAGCAGTTCTGGAAATCTCACAGATTTCTCCCTTCTGAAAACTGTGATGACAACAAATCTGCAGCTACAACAGAACAACATGGAGTAGCTCTCTTTAAATTGACTAGCAAAGACCCAAAGTATGAAGGTCTAAAAAGGATATTTCCAAAACCCTTGGCTTGTGCAAAATTGCATCAATTTAATAATATGAATGAACTTCACCCATGCAGCTCTTGATTGATGATCGCTTCTTACTCTATATGATCTTTGCTTTAGCAGTATAAAACAGCATACACTTATTATCTCACCGTGTCTATATGGTCGAGTTCCTCACCCAGGTAGGCTGACTCCTGTGTACGTCTCCCATCTGTATCAACCATTTCCATTCACATTTGTAGACTTGACTGGGGAAAATTTAACTCCTAAGTTACTCAGATTAGTGGCAGAATTTACTTTCTTGTGGCAATAGGATTCATAACTCACTTCAGAGCCATCAAGAAAGGCAAGACACTGAAGAATAATCGTAAATCCTTCAGCGACAACAGCTGTAGTACTTGCGTGATTGCCACAACAGAAAGGGGGAAGAAATCAATCTTATATCATGAAACCATACTGCTGTTGTTTCACTTCATTACATATTTTAAACATTTTACTGTAGAAGGTCCAGCCATACTTGAAAGAGATGATATTGTCACATTTCAAATTCTTTTAAACTAATAGACTTTACTTTGAGCAGTTTTGTTTACAGGAAATTTGAGCTCCAAAGGAAAATTTTCCCATACATACTCTACCTCAACTAATTTCCATTATTACTTTTTATATTAAAATGGCACGCTTTATTACAACTTTTGAGCTAGTGACAACTAAAGCTATTATTATCAGTTACTATTAACTAAAGATTTAGTTTCTATTAGGCTTTATTTATTGTGTCGTACATTTGATGGGTTTTGAAAAATATATCAGTTCTATTATTACTGCTTTAGGCAGAAGAGTTTTGTTGCCTTATAGATTGCCCACGTTTTACCTGTCCATCTTTCGCACTAGAACCTGGGCAATTACAGATAAATTTACTATCCCATGAGTTTGCCTATTCTGACTAAATAGTTGGAATCATGTAATCTATCACCTTTTCAGACCAGCCTCATTCACTTTGACTTATGAACTGAAGATAACTTCTAGCCTTCCCATGGCTTGAAAACTCATGTTTACAGTTTAGTATTATTCCATCATACAGATGTGCTACAGACTGCCCAGCCACCAACTGTGGAAAACTTGATTTTTCCCAACTTTTGGCAATTATGAATAAAGATGCTATGAATATCTGCAATGTATAAATTGTATATAGATGCAACTTTGTACTCGTCTATGCAAAGACCAGAGTGCAGTTGTTGGTCAGATGGCAAGTGTAAGCTTAAATTCTTCAGAAACTGTAAAACTCTCTTTCAAACTGGCTGAAAAAATTTATATTCCCACCAACCATGCATGGGAGTTCCTGTTGCTTCATTCTTACCGGCATCTGGTACTTTCAGTGTTGTGGATTTTAATCATTCTAAATGGGCATTTTAATAGGGTGTTTTTACCTCCATCATCTTTTATATCAAATTCCACAGACAATGCTAAGGCTGCAGGAGAAAGAAGATAATATGTTCTTGACAATATATTATCCCCAGTCTCTGTCATATATGTTGAACAAATGAGAGACTTTGGAGAACCTGAGATTTCCCTTAGCATTTCATTCTGAAGTTTAACAGCTTTCATTACAAGAGAAAAATATGAATTCTAAGATAATGCAAATATTTATTGAAAGCAATCTTTTTCAATTATAAAGTACTAATTTTACTCAATAAAAAGAAAAAAGTACTGATTTTATTCTTATTTTCATAGATTGTGTATTTTTGAGACCATAGCATAACGTTTTCCTACCTTATATTGTAGTACTTTTTTTAATAAAATAAGATGATTTATTGGAAAAACAGTGGAAAAGGAAAGATAGCTGCTCTACAAGAGTAGGGAGCGTCCTGAAAGTGTTACTTTTTTGGAGACTAATAAATGAGTCTACTTCTTCAGTAAGTATTTACATGTTAAATGTGCTTTTCTTTGGACAAATCAAAACTTATAGACTTTCTCAAAGGGTTTTTTCATTAGCATGCAAATATATGGTAAGGAAATATTTAGTTTGCAGTTTTAAATTTGCTACTGATAAATATTTAACAAATGTTGAGGTATCAATCATATATATATATATATATATACACACACACACACACATATATATGTATATATATTTCCTCCTTTTTTAAAACAAAAATTTTCTAAGTGCCAATTTTAAACCTTCATACCTAACTTCATGATAAATTCTTTTCAAAGTCTAAGATTTACCATCAATAAAAAAAACAAAGGAAAGCATGACCCATATTGATCTAATTCATTATTTCATTGCTTCATTGTTCTGTCCCAGTTCTGAGCAATGTGTGTCTATT